ATCAGTAGAAATTTGTTATATTCTCTAAATTTGTGATAAATTTCATAACATTAGGGCACTGGTTTAGCTCACTACTTGACAAGATGACCATATGCCACATGGTTGAATGTAGTGGCCCAGGTTTGAGTCTGACCTCAGACCCTTCATCATTTAGAACACTAAGTAGTATACGGGCAGTATAGTACAATATGTGTTACTTCCTTACCTTATTGGCTCTCTGTGTTAGGTTAGTGAAGGAAACAACACATTTTACTCAAGTGAGTGACTCAATATGCAATTAGTAAGTAGTTGCTGATGTCACAACATACTACTTATTTTCACAACATACTTACCTGTGAATCATACAGGGCAATTTCTTGAAGTGAAAAGTACTAATGGGAAGAAAATAATTATATATTTTGTGCAACTGCTGTTTGTAAATTAAGAATTTAGAGGAGTCTGTGGAAACATCCAGAATTGAGGCAGTGCTAGCAGCTAGGGATGGTATGTCTTCAGATAAAGTAGCGTGTTATCTGTCTTTAATATTCATTACAGCTAATATCCTGATCCAACAGCTCCACTTTTTGTGTATTTTAGAGGCCTCTTACATTTGCTGCTTCTGGCACGCTCATTTCAATAACAAGAGGAAAAACTCTGAACTATGAAGAAATGGCGCGAATGGCATCAGTGTAGCGCATGTCAGCTGTGGTCACATATGGCATGTGGTTTTAAAAAGAACATGTGTATTCATTACCAGCATTAGACACCTTCAGCTGCACTTGTAATTATGAAGACTCACAGTCGTCTAGCAGCTCTAATTTGCTTTAAGAAAATGTACTGCCAGGATGTGACTTTCCTAAATGTCTTCTCAAACTGTTGCTACTTTGTTCTAAGTAGTTCTTAATTATGAAAGATATAACATTCATTACAATGGGAAGTAAAATCTTGTCTGCACACCACACAAACACCCTCTGTCCTTTCATCGTGTGTAAAAACGTGTTGAGAAGATATATAAAATGTACCATGAAAGGATACAAGTGTGAATTGTTCTAATAAAATGAGACAGTTTTGTAAGTGGATTACAGTTTGCAGTTCATTTAAACCTAGTGCATATGCGTGTTGCTAGGACTGATCAGAAGCAAATTTCATTTCAAATGACCACCCAACAGAAGCCTTGATAAAAGTGTGGTTTTGTGCAAACTGTGCAAAAAGGAGTTGGCATACCATCGAAGCACTTCAACCTTACGGTACCATCTACCATCTAGACCACTATTAGTGGTAGAAGACAGGGGTTAAAAAACGTGCTAGGTGATCCAACTTTCCAACTGCTGTGCCGAAAGACTATTTCAAGTAAAATCAACAGGAGGGCAGGGGTGCGCCTCTGCCTGCATCTGTGAGTATTGCTTTCCCACTGTTGTGCGTCAGGTGCAGCTTTGCCGGGGGAGGGTCGCTGCGGCCGGGCCAACAACGTTGCTGACCCATGTCTGTCTGTTTCAGGGCGGTGCTACGAGGGAGGCAACATTTGCAGTAATCGAGGGCCCAAGTGTGGAGTGTGGCTGGACTGCGCGGCGATGCACCGTCAGGAAAAGACAGCTCCGTGATGGGAGCGTCGTCCTTTGTTTTCTGGCTGGCGTGGTCCCCATCTCAGAAGTGGAGTTCCTCTCCTGGTTTTAGACATAAGGAACATTTGCCCGAGTGTGGCTGGACAGAGGGCTGTGGGGGGAATTTTAGATAGTGTATATTCATTTCTGCCGACAGGGTTTGTAGCATATTGAGAAAGTTGTTTTTATTGTATAAGGGTATTTTAAAATTTTATTTGTAATTGTACTTGTGTTCTGGTTTTTCTTCCTCCGCTGGAATAAATGGTGTGTCTAAGACCTGTTTAGTCTCTGTGCCCTGAGCGCTGATTCGCTTGCTCCCCTCTTCCCTGTATGCGAAAGAACGTTCAGGTGGGATATTACATACCCCTCCTCTTTGTGGTGCTCCGACATGTTTTCAATTCTCCACCCCAAAGCAGTCGGTTTTCCTCCCCAGGTTCCCGAACCCAATTTGATCTCCTACACTAAACAGCGTTCTTCCATGTGTCCTCCCCCTCCTCCCCCTCCTCCTTCCACTGTGGTCTTCTCTCCTCCTCACTTTGCACCAGTCCAGTTGCAGTCAGTTCTCTTCAGCTTTGTCCTGTGTAATCCGGCTGTCTTTTCCATTGCCATTTCACTCCAAATATGGCAATTATGAAACTCAGACAGTCTTCCCAAGGTCCATTCATGCACAGTGAAGTTGCCGCTTGTTGGAAATGCATCTCCATCCATCCAGTCCTGATGATGGTGTTTTCTCCATGCTGATGCCGTTTGCACATACTGCTGGTGCTGGACCTCTCACTGCTCAGGATACTGCTGTTTTCTCTTGACCTGCTGTCAACTCTTGATGTCCGAAAACTGCATTACTTGTCTTTTCCTTTCTCTCCAACTGCTCTTCTACTTTTCAGCTGGTTGATGCTGAGTGATCCCTTTCCCACACAACCATTCAACCTTCTCTGCCATCTCACAACATACTTTTACCTACAGTTCTTACCATACAGTTACAACTGCCCAGAGCTTCTCATCTGGCTGAAGTGTAGTGCCTGCCCACAGCTGCCTCTTTAGCCCGCTAAGTTGGCTCAGCTACTTACTGGATCCAACTTCCCTTTACATTCAGAGCGTCCTCTGCAATGGCCTTCTTCCCTTCCCTATGTTCCCTTCTGCAGAAAAGTGATAAAATACCATTACTCCACGCACTGTAGTACGCAGAAATGATTCCCGACACTGGACTCGAACTATCGTCCCTGTGATGGACCTGAACAAGCTACTGTGCTTGACCCATGCTTTAAGGATTTAAAGTGTCTTGCGAGGGGAGAGTGAGAAGAGGTTTGGACCGGTAAATAAAACTATTTTTAACTTATTTTTACTGTTTCTTCAAAGCGCTATACTTGACAGTTACTGTGTAGATCTATAATGACTTTCCTGAATTGTCTACTACGGGTTTGTGACTGAGCTTCTTGGAGGTGAGACATATGTCTCATGTTCAGTGGTTTTACCTGCTTCTAACACCTGCATCGCCCCACGGAGATCTCTGATGATGACTCAAACTACATGGTAAAATTTAATACTGCCTTCACAAAGGACCAATCTCAATGTGTAGCTATACTCAACCATCAGTGGCTCAAGATAGGCCTTGAGGCCCTGCTGCAGGAACAGTGTAGATATAAAGGAGCCAGCAAAGACAAAGAACCTTCTCCTCTTTTGATTGTCATCAGATTCTGATTCAGATGGACAGTAAATAAGAATGGAGATATTGTGAGTCCATTAGGTTTGTTTTTTTGTTTTTTTTTTTGCACTAAAATGTTCGATAATCAAACTGTTTTAGCCTAATGTACATAATAATTTTGGCTAAGGTTACTCAGAGTTTAAAGGTGAAGCTGGTCAAATAACCTGTTATGATTCTGTCTTCTTTTTTTAGGAAGAAAAATGGCACTTTATGTTGAAAATTGTATTATTATTATTTAAAGACAATACCATTTTGAAAATGTACTTAAAATAGCACTTTATTTTTAAGTCTGTCCAATTTTGGCAAGGAATAATTTTTTTTGTTTCTCTGTTTTGAATTGAAATGCAGTTTAAATGTTTGTTTGTTTTTGCAGAAATTAAAAGAGCTTGAGTTTACAGTATTCATGTCCATGTCTATTATTTGATTTTGTCGCCCACTAAAATCCTTTTAAATTTAAAAAAAAAAAACATTTGTATTTTGGGGCAAATTTTCTTGTGCGATTAAATGCGAATAATTGAGATTAATTAAAAAGCCTATAATTACTTTAATTTTTTTTTTTTAATCGAGTCCCACTCCTAATATTTGTCCATTTGCTGTAAAAGTACGTGATATCAACATACATGCAGATTAGGAGGATTTTCTTAATATTTATTTTTTATTACACATTTTTTGTTCTGTAATAGGACTAACTAATATCTTTAAATGACAAGTTATGAAAATAAAAAGTCAGACTTTCAAAGGCCATTAGAATTGGTGTGTATCTCTATAGAAAGACTTGCAGTGATGCTTGGTGTATAATTCTTTCTAATCTATTAACATGGAAATCTTCCTAAAAATCTTGTTTTCTGTTGCATCAGAAGGGGTCAAGCAGACCACTTGTTGTTGTCTACTGAATCATAAAGTCTACTTTATCATTTTCTTCAAATGTGATGCTAGCTTCCAAGCTACAACACACCTTTACATCTAGTGACAGCAGAATAGCTACTCCATAAGATCAGAATAATAAGCCTCACAGGATCAGAGATTAAAACATTTTAAACAAAGAGCCGAACCAGACTTTCTGTATAGGCGAACTGGGCCTGCAAATCGACAATATTGCTTTTAAAAAAATTTGCAAAGATATGAATTTCTCAATCCACCACATCCCAAACATAGTGGTGGAGAAACTGAGATCTGGTGACAGCCTTAACAGTCACCAGATCTTCAGTATTTTAATGAGCCCTTCCAGTCTGTGTCTTCAGTTTCCTGTTCTTAGCTTACAGGAGGAGCAATGCAGCAACAACAGGGGTAGCAGAGTGGCTGCAGCAGAGTCCACAGGCAGGATTTTTAGCGCATGTTCTTATGAAGCTGAATATGCAATGGATAACAGAAAAATATCTGTTACTTAATTCCATCATAAGATATAAAAAAAAAAAAGATTTTCTGCCAGTTGTCAGTTATCAAATCTGTATCTGATCTCTTCTCACACTTTAACAAGGTTAAAGTTTTGTTGGCATCATTTTCCCAAAAATTAAGTTCTATTGTCCGACACTACACCATTTTGTGAAGCACTTTGTGATTTTTATCTGTGAAAAGTGCTAAATAAATTAATTTTACTTAACTCCCACAAAGAGAAAAAGATATCCACTTTTAACTTCAAGTTCTTACTTCTGTGTTCTCCATGGTCTCTTTTCTTTGACCCTTCCTGCATGGTTACCAGAAATAAACTCTTTTCTTGGCACTTTATTCACACACTAACATCACATTGTCAGCTACATGGTTGATTATTTTAAAATGCAGCAACAAACAACAAATGGCGAAAACATCTGTACACAAATGTGTCCTTCAGCACTACAGATGAAATGTAAACACAAAATAAAAACTATGAAGGACAGAGAGTTTTTCCCACTTTGATTATATTTAAGAGGACCTAAATATAAAATTACAGAAAGAACCACTATTTATGGAAAATTTATACACACTTGTTATCTTGTGGAAAAAAACTGTGGAATGAATGAAAAGGAAAGGATAAACTCTAATCCTTATTTCCACACCTACACGGATATGTGACAAATGTACAGCAGGTGAAAGGTGACACTAGGTGTTGGAGCAAGGACTCATTTCAATCATTAAAACAGAGTTATCTGGAGATTCCACCTTTTCTGGGACAGCAGGGCCTTCCAATATTGTTTTTTTCTTCCAAGTGAACCAGATCCAAATCCCACTTAATGACAGAATTACCACAGCAGCTTTCAAACCAAATATGAACCAGGAAGTACCTGTGTAGACAGAAAAATGTTTATGACAAGTTAGAGCTGTGAGAGAAGAGTCACAGTAGAGTTTTCACTCATGTACCATAGTTTATAGAAAGGGGAAAAAATACATGAATGCATCCCCTTCATCAGAGTTCATTTTTATTCCTTTATATACCATGTGTCATCACTGATGGCAGTTTGATTAAAGAGGCTTATTTGACACTATGTTAGTCTCCTTACCCACTGCAGTTAGTGTGACTGGTGTAGGTTCAGTTGTTGGTTCAATACACAGGCTGTTACTGTCTGCATGCACCCACCCTAATATCTGTGTCCCATTGATTGAGGTGCAGTTAATGAAGCCTGTGAGCAAAAAACAGATCATTCAATTGATGACAAGTTAGAGCTGTGAAAGAAGAGTCACAGTAGAGTTTTCACTCATGTACCATAGTTTATAGAAAGGGGGAAAATACATGAATGCATCCCCTTTATCAGAGTTCATTTTTACTCATTTATATACAATGATGGGAATAACGGCGTTACTAACAACGTTACTTTTTTCAGTAACGAGTAAACTAACTAATTACTATTCCTATCGTTACAACGCCGTTACAGTTACTAACAAGAAAATGCGGTCCGTTACTATTTTTCAACAAACAGACGGTTGAAGCTGTGTTCAGCTTACCGCATCTTATATCGGTTGCACGGAAGTAGCTGACTACGTAAGTAACCTGGACGCTACAGCTTTAAGCAGCTGCGCGCGCTCCCACAGACAGCAATCACTTTCTGCCCGACGATCACTTTTCAGCACAGCACCTGGAGCTCAGGGGGGCAAAACAATCGCATGAGTGCTGTTTTTTGGCTAAAGAAGAATAAAGTAGTCGTGGTAAGCCACTCCCATGACCACTTCAAGATGACAAAGCAACAAGGTGATAAATACCAGTTTTTAAATTGTGTTGATAGGCCACGTAAAACCAGAGTAATGATAAACAATATATGCAGCGTTTTTTCCTCAATAGTTTAACTTTCACGTTTACTGTCTAAGGACAGCGCTAGGAAGCACTCTCTGCTTATGAGCAAAAAATACAAAAACAAAACAAAAAACAGCCTGTTCCTGTTGGTGGAAAAATGCGCCATGTCGACCAATCAAAAATGATATGGCAACATGACATTTGGTTGTTTAAGAAGAGGGGGACGTTTTAGCAGTGACGGCGAGAGAGAGAGAGACAGCAGAAAAAGACAGAGCAAGTTTTGAGATGTGAGAGATTTGTGACGTTTAGCGTGTTTGGAGTGTGTAGTTAATGTGTTGTCTTGTGTAGTTAGTGTGTAGTGTTGTGGATGGTTTTGTGTTGTGTGTCAGAACAATGAGGCGACTGCTGTATCCAGGTAGAAACAGGAGTGATACACCTGCTGCTGTCAGACCTGCAGGAATCAGGCTGTGATGTTCTCCTTTATAGTGGACAGAAATTATTGTTTTGGAGTGGCACGAATAATTTGTGTGGCATCTTATTGAATGCAGAACAGCTGATTGTTCTGTAAATAGTTTGAAATGGTTATTTAAAAAATCAAGGTAAAAGGTAAATGGCTGCAAATAACTTTGTTGTTTGCAAAACTTGTGCATATGATTTTAAAATCGACAATTTATATTTGCATTTAAAGTTATAAAATATGATTCATTAAACATGTTTGTGGTTGTTACAGTAAAAAATCTAACTTTTTCTACTCTGATTTCATGTTTTTCTGATTTTAGATCAATTGTGTTAATACAGTATGTCAAAATGAAAACATAACTGTAAATTCAGACACGTGAGGTTGTGCTGAAAAGGATGATACCAAACAAGGCAAAGTAAATCGTTTTTAAAGGTGAAATTTTGAGGTAAAATCAAAAGTAGTCAAAAATGGCCAATTATGCTCAGTTACTAACTCAGTTACTTTTTTGAAGAAGTAACTAGTAACTATAATTAATTACTCTTTCAAAGTAACTTGCACAACACTGTTTACATACCATGTGTCATCACTGATGGCAGTTTGATTAAAGAGGCTTATTTGACACTATGTTAGTCTCCTTACCCACTGCAGTTGGTGTGACTGGTGTAGGTTCTGTTGTTGGTTCAATACACAGGCTGTTACTGTTCACAGGCACCCACCCTAATATCTCTGTCCCATTAATTGAGGTGCAGTTAATGAAACCTGGCAGAAAAAAGCAAATAATTTGAGAAAGATGTTAGAAGTGAATTAGTCGTTATTATCGACTTTTATTCAAAATGTTGTCACTCACGACAGGTCTTCTGTTCTTCTGAGACATCACTGACGTTGTTCCTGACTGAGCAGACCAGACATCCTGAGATGTGCTGTTTCAGAATAATGTTGTTACTCTTATTATTTCCAGAAAGGAGCTCAGCATCTGTCAGTGTGCGTCCATCCAGAGCCCAGCTATACTGAGGACTGTCCCCTCCCTCAGACAAGCAGGACACCCTCATCTCTCCCTGGGACAGACACTCAGAGACCAGCAGGACAGAGGACACAGGAGCTGAGAGAAACACACACAGATGACTTTTGGTACTATAACAAGATGCACTTTCATGCACTGTGCTTCCTTCTATGTAACTTTACATGGTCTGTAACTTGGTAGCTGATTTTCCATAGTTCCTAAAATCTACTACTTTGCAACACTATCAGTGCGTTATGGAATATAGGAGGGAAGAAATATCTCAAAATTATTTGCTGCAAAGGTAGCATCCTGTTACAGTAACATACACAATTTCAGTGAACTCTTTAGAACACAAATATTTGTAGAGGCAGACTGCATGGCTAGCTGCTTAGTTTCATACATCTGTGCCAATGGAACTAAAAACATCAGAATTCAAAGATTAAGAGATGTGGCCCAATACTTTAGTGAATGTAGTGTGCATCATGTAGATTATCATTATTTATGGTTTGCTAATTCAAAACAGGGGATGCACAAAGTGTACGTATGTGAAATTCTGTGCTGTATGTTATAAAGATTACCGAAACAATACTGCATTTACATCAATTAAAGTCTGCATTTCCCAACATTTACCTTGAATGAACAGCTGTAAAGTCTGCACGCCTGATGATTGTCCATCTGAATCAAAGGTTATAAGGGTATAATCACCACTGTCATTCCTGCTCAGGTTATTGATCCTAAATGTTCCATTACTGGGAAAAAAGCTAGATCTATGTACTATGGTATTAGAAATAACCTTATTATTTCTCACATATAGTATTCTTAATGAATTCTTTAACAAGTGGTATCTAGGTATTTCTGCGGTGCTGTCCATCAGCTGGATGTCCACAGTTCCTCTCAAAGCTCCATAACACTGAGCTCCATCCTGTCTGCCATCACAGTAAGTTTCCACACCTGCAAATTTTGAAACATAAAAAAGAAAAACATTTGTGATTTTTTAGTTTCTACCAAATAAATTACAACAAAAACTGAATTTACATTATCAGCAAACCAAAATTTACTGATGTGAGGACTTTCATTTACTAAAAAGTATTTTTGTATTACCATGTTTTTACCCAATATCAAAATATATTTTGGATAACCCAGTGTTTTGATTGAATGGTATCAAATTATTTATGGTAGTACTACTGCTATAAATCTGTCAGCTCTTAATATTTTACTCAGAGTAGGTAGCAGTTATGCAAATTGTAGATAATAGAGGCTCAAGAACAAAATGCTGCATCCATAATCCCAAAGTTATCACACACAAATGCGTCCAACCTTTACCAATATATCAATAATTAAGAAATACAGGTTGACACATTCTCCACATTTTAGACAAATGCAAAAACTAAAGTATTTTCATGTGAAAAAAAGAAAAGAAATGGGTGTTTGTCAAAAAGAAAACAGGAAGACATATTTCAGAGAAAAGAACCCGTACACAAACAGGACAGAGATGTTCATTTCTGAAGGTGGCTTTATAAATGAAAAAGTAATGCAACCGATACATTCTTCAGCATATCAGTAGTCACGGCATGGCATAAGTAACCTAAGATCTAGATTTCTAGTAACATCCAATCAGTAAGTTGAGACAGAGTCTTCAAAATCAGGCAGTCCATCAAATGATGTCTTTGATAAGGATGGAAAGAATAAAGTCCTTTAAAAAGCCAAAACTCACTTAAACACACTGCAACAAGGCTGCCAAGGTGTATAGTGAGCTAAGAATTTACCACTGTTACTAAAACCGGTAAAAAGACCAAAAAAGGAGCTAAAACTCTGCTCAAATGGTCATGTACTGCAGATATAGCCAATAGATTCTTACATTAATTTAATAAGATTAAAAAAACAGATATTGTAACTTTGTGTAAGTATTTGTGCTGCTTTAACATCTCTGAGGATGATGTCAGATATTTTCTACAGGATAAAAAAGTATTAAATGTTGAGTGCCACATGTAAAAAGAATATCTCACCATGAGACACTCCCAGTAGAATCACCATCAATCCCAGCACAGCTTTCATATCTCCTCACTGTTCAATGTGTGTCTTTATTAAATGCATGCACATATGTCCAGCAGTTAATAGTCAGAATTGGCTCCTGCTACTGATCAGCTTCTTTTAAAAAGCCTCTCACATTAGAAACGGAAGCAAAACCAACATACTTGAAGAACCAACAGAAAGACTGTTCTCACTCTGTGTGTGGAAATGTGAAAAAGGAAGTACAACTAGCATGTTCATTACTTTGCAGAATTTTTTTTCTTATTACTCACACTGTCACTGAACTATTTTTAGTCTGTAACAAACTAACACTATGCTGCCCATCACTCAGTTTCCACCACAATATCATGCAGTTTAATGCAATTCAAGAGCAGCCCCATTTATATTCCATTTTAAGTCCACATTTTGGTGATACACACATCAATGAAGAAAAAGAAAAACACTTTTAAAACATTTAAAAATGCACATTTTCAATTTAGGGATTAGGGAGTTCAAATGCTAGGCAGCCAAGGAGGCCACTCTATGTTCCCAGCAGCCCAGCCCAAAGAATGAAGAAGCTTCAGCCTTTTTATACTCCCAGGTGCAGACAATCAGCCAGTCAATTGGTCCTGGAGTGTCATGGGATCTCCAGGCAGCCAATCGTCTGCGTGGGCTGACACACTTGGATCTGCATAAAAGAAGGCTGGCACAGGACTCCCAGCAGCCAGTCATCCACGAGTCCTAGCACTTTTGGGTTTGCATAAACATAGGGTAGTCTCACTTCCTCCAAGGCCCAGGGCCGTAACATCAATGCAAAAAGTTCTGAAAAGTAACACTATTACTCATTATTAATGTATTGTCTTGATGCATTCTCAATAATAGCTGTTTTTCTCCATCATCATTATTTTTTTCCACAAAGAAGAACCTGAATTAACATGGTCAATAATTAATTATTTAAAATAGGACTACACTACTGATGATTATGAGCATGACAGTATGACAGTCTTCTATAGGAGCTTCCACGTTCTGGCAACCCACAGATAAAATACTCTATTTTACTGAGATGCAAAAAGGCACAACTTACGCTGCCCATGTTTCCTGTTAGTGATCAGCTTCAAATCAAAACATGTCAATTTATATCTGTTAGGATGGGACTTCTTTCACAGTATTTCAGTATTAACTACTGAACGCAGCTGTCATTAGTGATCAGTTTCAGATAAGAATGTGTGAACTCAGAAAGACAGGAAGTGATTAGAAAAGAGCTAAAGAGAGAAAAAAGAGAGACGTTTTCTTTCAGATTAGACATACTAATGCTTCCAAACGAAATATGTAATTATCTTGTTTAGCTAATCATGCCGTTTCACTGACACTGTAATATTTACAGCTAAAATAAATGTAATTACTGAATAAACTTTAAAAAAAAAGGTAAGAGGTTAAAATGTATTTCAAAACCAGTTTATCAAAGACATGATACAAATTCCAATTTATATTCAAGTTTAAATTACAGATTACTTCAAACCTCAAAACACATTCATAGCCAACAATGATTGTTCTGTTGTTCACTGGTTTTAAAATGTTTTCTGAAGTTATGTATGTTGAGGTTAAATGTTAATTAGTTTCACCATATAAGCTATTTTGCACAGAAAGAAGTGAAGCAAAAATAAGTTGCAACATACAAACCACAAGTGTACATGCAACCTTTACCATGCACAGCCTCCATGATTGTTCTTGGTGATATTCTGCTCCTTTCTTATAGCAAAACTAGACTTGTCACAGTCAGCTTGGAGCGAGGAGCAAATGAAGGAAGATCCAAATTTCACTGTAAACCCCCAGCTGACAATAAAAACTGCTGGCTGGGTTCGTCTGAGCCTCCAGCTGGCCCAGAGCCGTGCTGCACAAGTTCGTGTGAGACCATAGTGGGAGCTGAAACGCGCACCTCTGAGAATCCAGAGCAAACTGAGACCTCCGACTCAGCCTCTGGATCCGAAAATTGAATTGAACCTTTGCCTCGTTCCCTCACGCTCCTGCCTGTGTATATATAGTGTCTGTTTGCATTTTCTTGTTGTCGCTCCATCAGTGTAGCTTGGTGAATATCTGTGTCTCTCTGCTCTTCATTCTCTGGTCCTCATCCCCTATGTAACCTCCTTATGTTTTTTCCTGCGTGTTGTTCTGTGAGTTATGGTTTCGGGTTTTGTTTGTTACTAGTTTTCCCAGTTTAGGTTTATGTTTAGTTCTGTTCTCGCCTTTGTTATTTTCACTTTCTACAATAAAGCTCCCTCTCATCACTTCAAGTGTCTGCATTTTGTGTCCTTTCACACAAACACCACACGACTGCTGCCGCAGCCGTGACAGGTTGTGTCTGAAAACTGCATTTAAATTACATTTACATTTTAGATCGCTGAATGCTTTTCCAAAATCTAAATAGATTTAATAAATAAAAATTGTAAAAATGGTACATCTTCCATCATATTTGATTATTAATAAAACAGTTATGGAGCTAATTAAACTGATTTAAATTAGTTATATATTATTTAAACAGTTCTTTTGCAATAACTGTATTTACTTTAAGTGCATATCCATATGAAATTGATCTCATAATTTGATATTATTATATCAAGAAACCAAACAGTATCATTTAAAAATGTTTAAGCAGTTCTGTAATTGTAATTACATTTAGCAGATCTATTGCAGAATTTTGCCTCTTTTCTGTGTTTGAGATTCTTCATCCATAAGAATAAAGTCAAACCTTTTCACTGACTTTACTGGATCCCATAGCTGTAAAACATTTAATTCTATTTTGAAGTGTAGAAAAAAGTATTTAAAAACAATCCAACAGCTTCCATGTCTGCACATTGTTCAGCTTCTGTTGATCCAGACAGCGGCTTTCAAGCTTCAGGTCAGTGTATGCTTCTTTGAACAGACTGCAGTGTGTCCTGTTAGTGAACCGCCTCAGACAATGAAGTGCAAAAACCTTGGTGTTAGATTTTATTGATGAGGGGATAATAGACTCAAGAAGTTTATTGTCATTTCGTATGGTGTTACCCAGCCTGAAACGAAATACTGTTA